CTGTGTAAGCAAATAAAGGAACTGTACTCGACTGGACTGTCTCATCGTTGTTCTTGGGCTGGGCCTGACCCCTTACAATAAAGGTAGCATTAGTTTTGGTTTCTTGTCTGGGCTACCTGACAGAACTGACATCAACCTTGCAACCTATCATTTATGCCCATCATTTGTAGTCCTAGTTTTTGTGGCCATGGAGGATAGTTCTTGACTACTTCCCCTGCAGCTTCTCCTTATGTACCTGACCACTATCATGTCTCTCCTCGGTCTTCTTTCCTCCAAACTGATTATACCAAGTTTCTTTAGCCCATCATCATATGGAATGCCTTCAAGTCCCTGGGTCATCCTCTGAATTCTCTCTATGATTGTGGGAATGTGGTGCCCAGAATCACACATAGTACTCCAGGTGCAGCCACACCAGGTGCCAAGTAGAGAGGAATGGCTTCACATGTTTTTTGCTACGATGGGTCTCTAACGCAGCCCAGACCATAGCCATGTTCTTCTCAGATAAAGTGTTTAAGAATAAATCCCCCACCTTGTATGCGTGTCCAAGATTTTTTTCTCCAAAGAACTTTCTCCTGCTCTGCAATTATTCTGATCAATTATGATGAAAAATAAATAGATATTCTCTGCACACATCCCATGCGGTAAATTTGCTTTAAACAGGAAAACTACTAGTTCTACGACAATTGCTAGTTGGAAGGCAAAGTAACATACTTGGATATCTAGAGAGCCACTCATGGTATCTTTACTGTCCTGTGTTTTTTATTTCCTTAATGTGCAGTTTGAAATATAATTTCCTAGTAGGCCTAAATATCTTCTATATGTGCACTATATCTCTATAGACATATTATGAACATCACAGTCCAAAGTTATTACACATCCCCCTTTTTCATTCTGATGCATTTCTGCCCATTACAAACATCTTTTAGGGACTAACATTATTAGAATACATTAAATCGGTCACTAGGATTGAGGTAGACTGTAAATATTGTAAAATACATACATAAATACTGTTTATTTCTTACTCTAACAGGACGGGGGGAAGAAGCCTCAGTGTATATTTGCAAGTTGCAACCAATAAGCTAAAATTAAATAAAGCAAAAAGCCTTACCTGGGAGGCTGTGGGTGCTTTGAAATCAAACTGGGATTCCTGTTTTGTCTTTGCATTGTTTCTGTTCAAATTAATAATGGAAAGAAGAAGGGGAAACAAATTAATAAGGGAAAGAAGATGGGGAGATTTATGGGAATGAAGATACATGTGAAGTACTGAATGAACATGACAGCCTCTACTCTCCACTCTAAGGAAGACATTAAACTAACCTGGTCTCCTGTGGCATTTGTTGAGGAGTATGTGTAGTTGTAATTGTAGCAATTTTTTCTGCATTGGTCAATAATGTTGCATTGGAGGATTCTGCAAAATAAAACAATGCTTTTAGTGCATCAGATTATTCCTTTGATTAGGATATGCACACAGCTTCTCTTTGGCTGAAGTAGCCCTTCTGAAGTCATCAAATACTATTCAAGAGGGATTTGTACTAGCTCAGATTTCAGAAATCCAATAACAGAAAACATACTATAGAAGTATTTATTTAACAGCACACTGGTGAACACATTGCCTACAAATCTTTACTACGAGGGAAAGGAGTAAAGAAAAAAAATCCAATGCAATTATGAAAATCACAGTAACATTTTATATTCTCTCACAGTAGCTGTGAACAATGGCATGGAATATAAATCAAGAACTACAGACTATGTAGCTGTTTTTTTCCTCCTTTAATTTTACCCTATTGTTTCAAAGTCCTCTTACTGTCATGAGATGATTTCAATACTGTTTGATATCCCTTTGCTTCCCAAGCTTCTAACACAATTTCACAGTTTTTTCTTTGTTCCCATGTCCTTGGACTCCTTTGCCGACACTGTCATTTAGTCCAAAAGTTTACAGTGACCTATAATGCTTTTCAGCTGTCCTTGTCATGATAATCACATCAGATGTAGTATTGATTTTGATAAAATTGTATAGGTCATGGTGACCAATCTGATTAAATCAAAGAAGGGGCAATGAAGGTACAGAAAGAAATAAACAGAATTCCAGTGTTAGTCTCTGGTGTACATAAACCAAAATTTCAGATTGCTTATTATTTCATGATCAAGTTTGTTAGCAATTCAGCACAACAGGCAGACCCTTGCAGTACCACAAACACAATGCTTTCCAATGAGTCTGTTCAAGACTCAATTGCTTGTCATTAATTGGCTGAATAACTAAGTGCCAAATAAATAAACAATCAAGTGAATTATACTTCTCTATTAACCAACTCTATTCACAAGTCATTTTAATGCCCACTCCATATTGAGTGTTTAGGTAAAAACTGTTTAGGAGATTCAGTGAACAGACCTTTGACGAGTCCATACTGAGCCTCTAACCCAATGGAAGCAAACTGGTATCCTTCAGATACAGTAGGTTAGAACCCCCTATACTTTCTTGCCATTAATAATGCTGGGCAGGGGCTGAAAGGAATTGGTCCAAAAGATCAGGAGAGCACCAGACTAACTATTGCTGCCCTAAACTACCGTATGCATCAGAGATGCTGTTGCAATTGCATAGTTCAAATAGAAACCACACATACACGTATTTTAGGCAAAGTGTTTCTATACTATCCTTGGCTCCTGCCTGTTAACCTGATATTTAAACCATGAAGATGTTTTAACATAAAACTACCCAAAGCCTGCCATCAACACATTACAGAAAATACCAATAGAAGAGAATATGCGTAGCTCAGGGTTGAACTGTGGAGTCCTTGGGGTTCTCTGAGCTTGG